AGGAGAAGGAGAAGGAGAAGGAGAAGGAGAAGGAGAAGAAGAAGAAGAAGAAGAAGAAGAAGAAGAAGAAGAAGAAGAAGAAGAAGAAGAAGAAGAAGAAGAAGAAGAAGGCGTCCCCATCATGATAAACACACCAGGAACCACAGAGGTGTGCTCCACCACAGGGCAGCAGCCCAACCAAGGATATTCACCAACCACCAGTCAACCAGAATAAACTTACCAGATTTACCAGATGCCTCACAGGTCCTCAGAACTGCACCAAAGGCTGTGAGAATTGGACTGGGTGTCTCCCTCAGGGAAGCATTTAGAGATGGAGTTAGTCGTGCCTTCGTGAAAAGAGAGGGAACACCCCAAAGGCAAAAAGAGAGGAAGAAAGAAAGTGATGCTGTATTTCAGTGTAGGTGTCCAAAGGGATCTCACTGTTCGTGGAAGTGAGACTCACTCTGGAGAGGCAAGCAAATTTGTCTAAGGGCATTTCAGGTGTGGGAGCTATTGTGTGAGGCTGCTGTGATGGGGAGGGACTGAGACATCCAGTTGAGAGGGGCCAACTGCACAAGTCAAGAGGCCTGGTGGGAGTAGATCGAAAGGATCCAATGGGGAGTGACATACACCAGGGGCTGTAGACTTGAGCCTCTAGGAGCCACTAAAGGCATTGAGCAGGTATTGTCATACACTTGTGTGATATGGTATATGGTATGATATGATATGATATGATATGATATGATATGATATGATATGATATGATATGAATGATGGAGACAGTGGGGGGCACTTGTGGTAGTGTCGGCCTGAGGTGATGAGGGCCCTAACAGGAGATGACAGAGGGCATGGACAGGAGATGGCTGCCAGAGACAGGGCATTCTAGAATGAATCAAAAGGATGCTGGTGACAACTTGAACACCATGAAGGGGAAAGAAAATTGCCTTCTACTCCATGGCTTGGATAAAGACACCAACTCTCATTTTTGCAGGCTTTGCCATGGAGAGGGGGGGAAAGTAGTTAACTTGTGGTGGAATATAAGTTCATACTCCTTTAATTCTAATAATAGCCCCCATGGGCTAGGTTAGTGGTTTAACTTACACAAAGTCCTATTCTAAGTGAGATAAAGTCAGGCAGCTAAAATTGAGGGTACTGCATTAGACAATCTGGGTTCCGTACGAATAAACAAAATGACAGCAGCTCTCAAGGCCTATAAACTAAGGACATCTGAGATAATTC